TCAAAAACTGTCAGTGATATCACAGGGTACAGAGGAATAACACCTGAGTCCTCTGAAATGGCGACGCATGGGGGGGTATCATGGGCGAAACAGTATACTCTGTTATGTCCACGGTACTGCTCATGTCTATTGGCGACAGTTGCCACTTATCATCAGGTGGGCCGTCAGCTTGTTTACCATTCTAAATTACATAAAAGAAAAATCAAAAACTACTCAAACGATTTTAAAAATTCCTTCACCTATAGAAAGCTACAGTATCACTAAGTAACATAGGTTATATATTATTTTCGAAAATTGTATTTACCTGAGTGAAACCGGGTCGAATCGCTAGTATGTTATAGCTACATAAGTAATTACAATCTTGATATTTATTTAGATATTTATTTATTTAAACTTTAATGCACAGTGAAACTATGTACATATGGCGGACTTAACACCGAACGGTGTTCTCTGCCAGTCAACCATTGGACAAACCGAGAAATAAGTAGGCGGTGCATTATCGAATTGAAGAAATATAAAAAATAATCTATTAAAATAATATAAAAGATATCTATTGTTTGAGATAAACCGCAAATAGGACAGTCAAGTACAACCACAAGAATAGGGTTTTATTTACAAGTATATCAAACATATACGAATAGTAGAGGAATTTTCTAAACAGTCATTTTATTGAAATGATTTTTTCTTTTATCTGTTTCATCATAAATTACAACATAATCTATGGTTTTAACATACTAATATTACTTATATCATTTGTTAATTGCCCACTGCTAAATACAGACCTATTGAGGCGGCTTGCCAATCGCAATTGGATTTTATTGATGTTTTAGGATGGCCCCTGCTGCCCATCCCTCAACAATTAAATTCCTTTAGCCTCTTGCGACATCCACGGTAAAGTAAGGTGTAGCCCATTCTATGCCGGGACCACAAAGCAACAAATATTGCTAGTTCAGAATCTTTAATTATTTTATTATTACACTTTTAGTCATGAATATATAAACATATTTTTTTTGATGGGTGAAAATGGTATGGTAACTCCGACTGCGCTAACGGGATACGCTGGCGGAGCACCCGTGAAGTGTGTTAGATGAGAATGAAAACAGGCCAGTTAGCCCATCACGATGAATTCATCAGGAATTAACAATGATAGTTTCCAGGGGGAACCGCGAGGAGGTCGACCTGGTTGGGTATATTGCTAGCAATGGGATTCTCAGTCTCCATTACTAACTATCCCTTCTCCCCTATATAAACATATTTTATTAATAATTATCAAATATCCATACATGCAGACTTTTATATGGAAACTAATTAGACATAGCTTTAAATTTTAAAGCTTTAAAATATCATATATATTACATTAAGATATAACACACGTAACAAATTTCATTCAAATCCGTTCAATAGTTTTTCCGTGAAAGAGTAACAAAAATCCATCAATCCATTATAATAAGAATCATTTACATATGATCATCGAATTGAATGCACTATAGACATAAAAAAAAGTTGTTCGAAAGTGTAGCTTGCTCTGTACAAGGCAAAGGAAAAAAACCTAATACCTACCCGCGCGTAGGAGCTAACACCTTTAATTTTAACTAGATACGTATTAGTCACTTTAGTTAATAACCTGTTATATTTACGTGGGTGCCTTTATGTCGACAACTATCCTAGTTACATAGCAGAATAACCGTCCGTTCTGTGCCGCACTAGTCTCAGTGGAACGTAATTAAAAAAAAGAACAATATCCTTTCACTGGTGTCGTGTCGATACGAAACAATGGAAAGCGGGCGATTTAACCGTTTGCATGATTTATATTCAGAACTTTATTGTCATTGTCTGATTGTCTCCAAAGCGGGAGTCCCATTGATTGCTTAAAGTTTTTTTTTTTTTTTATGCCTATGTAAATCCAAGTTCAAAACGAGTAAAACATATTATTTGATCACATTGATGTCAGACCATTATGATGAATTCAACAAGAATTAATAATGATGGTTTCCAGGGGGAACTGCGTGGAGGTCGACCTGACCCTATACTAATGGGGAGAAGAGATTGTTAATAATGCTTACTATCAATATACCCTGTCAGATAGAGCTCCACACGCCCCCCCCCCCCCTGGAAACCATCGTGCTTAGTTCCAGGTGTATTCATCACGGTGGGCTAACTGACCTGCCTTTTCATTTTTACCTATCATCTCTCACTGGTACCCCGCCAGCATATACCATTCCATTATTGTTCTTTTAAAAAAATATTGCTAGCAACGGAAATTTACTAACAAAACCTCTCCCTCCAATGCAACCCTAGTAGTTCCTATAACTACACACTGTATCCACATGACGGATCGGATACCTACACGGATCGTAAACATATCCACAGTTAGATCGTATAGAATCACGCTATCTAGAACAAATTTGCGACGTAGTATCTGTAAGTTTTCCTATTAAAGTTTTCCACGATAACTTATTACTTTTCTTATTTCCTATAACTTATGTATCATTTTAGTTCGTTGCGATATAGCTAGTGACGATTAGGGCGTAGCAATAAAAGTTTACAGACTACAAAAGTTGCGTAGTTCTATACTTTAATAGTTGTATTGCCAACTGTTTATACCTCAATGATGACGATTCATAATTCTTGATTCGATGATGTATTGTTATAGAAATGTTATTGTATAAAAAGTCCAAATACACATAGAAAAAAATTTAAGAACATTCCCTTTTTTAAAATCGGTTGAAAATCATATCAAACCTTCTTACAAAATCTTGGGTGTGTTGTGAAAAAAAAATTAATCGTTCCACGCTTTTAATAGTATTATTTTTGCCTATAAATCTACATCTGTAGTTTGTGCTTAGATGTTTTTCTAAAGTTTCAAATACTTTTTTTCCATCGAAATACAAGTTTTCCGGGATAGCTTAATAAGAATTTTATTGCTTGACTAATTAATAAACATTTTAACTCCCTATTACAATACTTTTTAAATGCTAAATCGATTAGAAATATTAAAAATTGCCACACTTTTAAATATGCCTCATAAATAATGTCATTATTCAATCAAGTCTTCCCTATCGATCCTAGTTCGATGAACCTTGAACGCTGCAACATTTGCGTGCAACCATCAAATATCCCATACCGGCAATGACACATGCAAGCTACCAGGGACATGCGACGTATCGTGGCACGATAACTATGCAGTTTACGACATCATAAATACAAGAAACCATTGTAAACTTGCACGAATGCCGTATTGTATTGTGTGAAACATATTGAATGTCAATAGATTTATCATTAAATGTAGTTTGAACGAGATGTATTCGCACATAATCTTTTAATCTCATTTATCTCTGTAGATCCGGTTCGAAGGACCATAGATAAACTTCTATACTTAACAAAATAATCAATCATAATACAAAAGAAATTACGTTTTTGAAATAAGTTAAATAACATTATTGATTGTAAAAATAACCTCAAAATCATTTCAATAGGTACAGAAAACAGCATGGCCCATATAATTTAATTCTTGATTGACTACTTGTAATATTAAACCATTAATGGTTTCCCTTAATTTGAGATTAATTGACTAGCAGTTATTTATTTTGAATGTTCTCGAAGAAGGTGTGGATATAGCAATAAATTAGTAATTAATAATTAGTTTTATCTTTGGTTGTAATAGTTATAAAAACATATTTTTTAGTTTTGAACATACCGAGTCCTGTTACTCAAATAAACAAATATTCTATTCTTCCTATATTTCTCTCTCGAGTATAGGTAGACTTATTGTAAACAGATGCATTATAGAAACCTTGACATGTAGACATTAGACGCGGAACTAATCTTACAGAACTGTTATTGAGTTCGTTATACCTAAAATCGGCACCTCAATTCATATTCGTGAGAGTGCTATTGCTTTTTTATAATACTTTTATTATCTTTGATTGCCAGAATCACGATATTAACGTTTTTTTTTTTTTGAAGTACCTAATTCTGTTCGAAAAAATATTATCATTCTAAATTTAAAAATAAGAAAGAGTATAACTTAAATAACAAATAATATAGATGCTTTTATCTGGGTAATAGTTATATGTACATCCCTGCCTTCTTAATTCTTTTTACATTTTTAGATTGAATTTAATTTATAAAAATATTTAAACATTTCGATTCTGTTTTTCTATCATAGATAGATATTTAGCAAACAGTCAATAGGTCATCTAAATATTATAAAACTTTCATAACACTTATGTCCTGGCACTCATTATAAAATATTGCTAGGGATTACAGATCTCTCTCGTAAAAGGAGAACTTCGGTTTACTGTTACCATGCTATCCAAGCGCCTTCAGTTTCCGATAGGACAACAAAAACAATAGAAATGATATTCTTAAAATGATAACATTAACAATTCAAGAATTCTTTCTTCTGGGCATGGATGTCTTCTATAGAATAAGGAAATAACATACTAGTAATACTACCACACTTGCCAAGCTATTTACCATAACGTTTCATTTTCTTGAAGAATGATTTTGCCAGACCAGAGAAACTTTACCACAGGGAGACTTTGTACAAAAGTCGTTTGTTTGCCACCTCTGTCCTATTCGTGTTTCTACCGAATGAAACAGTTGTGTTTGTATGACTGTGTTTTGGTTTGAAGAGTGGTATATAGCAGTAAATTTACAGGGTACAGAGGTATAACACCTGAGTTTTTAGGAATGGCGACGCATGGGGTATATCATGGGCGAAACAGTGCACTCTGTTATGTCCATGGTACTGCTCATGTCTATAGGCGACTGTTACCACTTTCCATCAGGTGGACTGTCAGCTTGTTTGCCTTTCTAAGTTGCTTAAAAAAATATAAAAGAATAAAAAATCTATCTACTTCGTAATGTCCAATTTTGTTCAGTGACCAACTACTTTAGTCTTATCTTGCTCTTAATAAGTGGCAATATGTATATTTACTTCGTCATCAGAGTTCTTATAATTTTCGTCTCTAAACAGACTATTTCTTCTTCGACAGGTACCAAGAAGATGGAATACAAGACCAGGCAGTGGCACGAGAAGTGTTTCTGCTGCGTCGTGTGCAAGAACCCAATCGGCACGAAGAGCTTCATCCCCCGGGAGCAGGAGATCTACTGCGCCGGCTGCTACGAGGACAAGTTCGCCACCCGCTGCGTTAAATGCAACAAGGTATATCCTTTCAATCGAATGCATATCTTAATTAGACTATATTTAAGTCTAGATTTTAACACCTTATACAACTACAGTACTGGGTTAACATTGACGAATTTAATACAAAATGTACCTGCGGCATTTTCGAAACCTAATAATTAATATTTTATTTTAATTCCTATAGACTATGCCTATCATGCTGTCTAGTGCCGGCATATAATGGGCCACCACTTCCTTACCCGTATGTGTCGTAAGAGGCTAAGAATGATAATTGTGAAAAGCTATGAACTTAATGGTCCAGAGATTCGCAGCAGCGTCCCACTTAAAACATAACCAAAGCATAACTGTGGTTCCCAACCCGCTTGCCAAGTGTATCGACTACTGACAAAACTCTCCATGTAGGGAAAGCCAATGTTCAGTAGCGGACAGTTAAGGGCTGAAACAATAAAATACCTATAGTCTGTTTCAATACAATTTATTGAAAATGTAAACAAATAAATTATTAATCCGATCATAAGACAGTTTGCCGATGCAGCTAATGTTAATATATAATAAATGTACCTATATATGTTTGTATATGATAATATTTATATAATAGTGCGCCACCTACCCTTTGTCTTTTTCTCAGTGTCCTCTACCCAAAGGTTGTCTGGAAGAGATTGCTTAGCGATAAGGCCGCCTTTTGTATCACTTCTCATTAATATTTACTGTATTTGTTATTTCTCTTTTTACTTGGTGCAATAAAGTGTAAAATAAATAAATAAAAAATATATTAATTGCTCGAATATTATGATTTAGTACTGATTTCGTTTAAAGAATGTTTTTGCGATAATTCTATTAAAACATACTACCTACAATACTAATTTCAAAGTGAAAAATTTACAACTATTATATAGGTAGGTGTCTATCAGAAGACATCGAAAGAACGATCCGATACAATTAAAAAAGTTTTGACTTTCTAAACAATTCATGAATAAAGAATTTAAGAGTTTCAACTTAATTGATAAAACTCACGATACAAACTTAAATGATGCAAAAGTCGATTTAAATAACAGAGAGAAACTTTGTCGTGTAGAACATTAAATAAATGAGGTGTCAGGTTCGTTTCCAGTTGAGGTGAAACAAAAGGGGATAAGATTACTTACATTAACAAATAGCTATGATTTTAGAAAATTCTCTAAATCATTCGGATAACAGCTTAACATTCTCCACAAAATAATAATAATCATCATCATATCGGCCGTTAACTGTCCACTGCTGAATATATATATATATATATATATATATATATATATATATATATATATATATATATATATATATATATATATATATATATATCGCTATTATCGCTGGCAATGAAGCCACTAATCCCCGCTATTAATCCTGCAATCGCCTCTATCTCTAATTACTCCATTAGCGATTATAGTCGTGAAGTTATTTTATATATTATAGTTTCTATAGACAAATATTGCCATTTACCACTTGTCTTTTTTCTTAGTGTCCTCCACTCAAAGATTGTCTCGAAGGGATTGCTCAGCGATAAGGCCACCTTTTATATCATTTCTTATTAAAAATAACTGTATTTATTATTTATATAAATGGTAGAATAAAGTGTAAATGAATAATATATATTCAAATATATCATTTCAGATCATCACGCAAGGCGGCGTAACATACAAGAACGAGCCGTGGCACCGCGAGTGTTTCACGTGTACCAACTGCAACACTTCGCTGGCAGGCCAGAGATTCACCTCCCGCGACGAGAAGCCATACTGCGCTGAATGCTTCGGAGAATTGTTCGCCAAGCGCTGTACCTCTTGCAGCAAGCCTATCACTGGTATATATAATTTGCTGTACTATATTTCTAAGGTTTTTTTAATGGGTGATAATTAATTAATGGGTCAGTCAGTCCATCCTGACAAATTCAACAAGAATTGTTCACGACAGCTTCCAAGAGGAACCACGTGGAGGTCAACCTAATACGGTATATTGCTAGCAATGGGGCTATCAAACTCCATTGCTAACAATCCCTTTCCCCCTGTATTTCTAAGGTTAGCTGACTTACCTACAGTAAAATTTGGACAGTAAACTTTTACGACCTTGTCTTGTCGTCCAAATGGTCGCGGGTTCGATTCGAGCGCAATATAAACATTTGTGTTCATAAATAGATATGTCTGTTTATACTGTTTTCGGTTGTCGGGATGTTATTATTGTATAATGTGTATATTTTTTATACCATTAAGTTGGCAAACAAGCATACGGCCTATGTGATGGTAAGCGGTTACAGTAGCCTATGAACGCCTGCAATACCAGACGTATTCTGAAATTTTTGAAGTCTTTAAAAAATCTCGACAGGGAGCTTATTTCATAACCTAAACGTTCGTGAGAGGAAAAATCTACGAACCACACCGTACGCAACCATCTAGGCTCTAGGTGAAATCTCTGTCGTTGTATTTACTACAACCACAGAATTAATAAATCATAGGGAAAAAAAATTAAAACATTTTTTTATTTGCTATAAACAGTGCCAAAATATTAACTCTCACTACTACTTACTACTACAACATACAGAGTATGAGAAACCTGAGGAAAGGGATTGTTAGTAATGGGATCAAAATAGCCCTATTACTAGCAATATACCCTGTCAGGTCGACCTCCACGTGGTTCCCCTTGGAAACCATCGTGACTAATTCTAGTTTAATTCGTTAGGATGGGCTAACTGACCTACTTTCATCTTCATGTGTCATCCTTCATCTGTCATCTCTCACTGGTGGCCCGCCAGTGTATACCAATAGCGCAGACGGGGTTACCATACCATTATCACCCATTAAAAAAAAACCTCCATATCTCTTTGTGTACAACATTTATTAGTGTATATATAAATGGTATAAATAGATATACACCAAGTTGTTAAAGCGAAGGATAGTTGCAAACAACTTCCAAAACATAAGATACCTCCTGAATACTTAATAGTCCAATAAAACTTTCCATTTTTGTTAGTAAATTGCATTTACCTACCCGTACATCGTATAGGTAGGTAATACTACTTAATTACATCACGCAAGGCTAATATCGGAGCTATTTATATAACGCATCGTAAGGTAAACTATTACGGACAATCTTTGGACTGAATCCAAACTCGAATATATCTCTGATACCAACAATACGTGGTCGTAAAAAAAAAACAGTGTTACATACACGAGTACCTTAGATCCCTCCAATTAAGAGTCCATTCACACAGACTGGCTCGAACAGAAAAACAGATTTTAATAGCGTTTAAAATAGCGTTTTAGGTTCGGGGTCAAACTATCTATTAAGCAGTGTAAGCAAATGGCCAGTGGTCTCGCACCAGATAAATTTCTTTTCGAATTTTTTTTTAAATGAAAATTACATATAAAAATTTGTATTTAACAAACCCTCAATGAAAACATTGTCTTTTTTTATTACGCCATTATATTTAAATATATTTTGTAACGCGTTTCAAGTTGGTATATTATATAATAGTATTTTTTTTTGTAAGGGAAACGTGCATTGCATAGGGCATGATTAATTCCGCACTGCTTAAATTAATGGAATAAGGTTTATTTCTCCATCAAATAAGAATTATATAAAAAATTTATGCTGTTTTAATTCCTGTACCTACCCCACATCTACACTTTGTTCAACTGTATTCTTGTTAACTAGGATATTTCAAGTCGATATCAAAAAATAATAATTTTATTATTTCCAGGCATCGGTGGCACACGATTCATCTCATTCGAAGATCGCCACTGGCACAACGACTGCTTCATCTGCGCTCAGTGCAAGACCTCCCTGGTCGGCAAAGGTTTCATCACCGACGGACAAGACATCATTTGCCCGGAGTGCGCCAAACAGAAGCTAATGTAAATAAATGACGCCAGCTTGCACTAACGCTTCCTCTCGTCAGGTGTGTAACTGCCCTTTACCAACTTGAGAGCAATTTTAAAAATCGAATAACAACTCAACGTCGATTTAGAATTAAGAAAAAATATCCAGATTCTAGCAACATAGAAACAAACAAAAGTTACTGGCCACTAAAGATCTACGAAAAAAAAAACAGGCCACATTAAAAAAAATATATTTAGCGCATGGCGAAAATTCAGCACGTTTATTTTTTAAATTATTAAAAAAATGTGACTGACCATAGATTTTTGTGCTTGTGCAGCGTAAATACCATCCTACCGGTAGTCGCTAACGCCAGAGACTGGTGCGCGTTCAAAAAGCAGGAAACATCCAGCGATGAGCTTTTCGACCTTGTCGACAAAATGAACTTTCGTAAGGTCGTCCCTTAGTTATTTGTTACTTAGAAGCGTTGTTGAAGATATTTTTTATACAAAAACTCGAAAAAATCACAAAAAAAAAAGTGGATGCACAAATATATATTAAGTATTAATTTCGCTTTTTTACTGAACTCTATTTAAGATGTTTATATATTTTGACTGTTTAGTTTGATATTCTCACTAATATCGTCCACAATATCTATTTATCGAGTATTGGTTATATATTATGCTAATCGCCATATAATTTCGCTTTGGCTGTTGTATTAGTCCGTTAGATAATATTGTCAATTTACCTAGAGCGATTCACACGATGCCTTACTAATAACATATCTAAGTCAATTTCGAGGATATATATATATATATAATTTGTGTTGTATGTATATGCATATAAATATTATGATATATTCAACATGCTCTGGTGCTACCAGATTTCATGTCTTAAATCTAGACACTTCCAAAAGGATTTGTATTAAGTGCTTGTCATTGTTTAAAATGCGTAACATAGTGTTTAAGAAATTATATTGACAGAGTAATGTATTTGTTAAGTATTTATTTTTACGGGAGTATGCACTTTTTAATGTAACATCGGCGGTGTTACCATGTCACAGAAAACACTTCGAGATTTTTAGCTGTAGTGTTGCCATAATTATTACTCACCGCCGTCAGACACAACCTAACAATAACTATTTGTTAAGTGACGCGAAAAGTCATCTAGTTTTACTAATGAAAAAAAATATATAAAATATGATAAAATATTTTTGTTCTCGAATAGGAATCGTGTTACAATAATGTAATTGAATGTTATTGATATTTTTACATGACTATAATAATATTTTTTAGATTTTAGAGTCGTATTTATAAGAGTATAACATCTGTGTTTTGTGATCGCATTCGCGAGCTGACCACGAAATGTATGGGGATCATTTTATAAGGGTTACTTGTTAAGGGTTAAATTATTCTAATGTTGATTATTAATTTATAATACTGTGTACACTTGAAACTGCTTAGTTGTGTGATCTGATCTAATTAAATCTTTGTATATCTATCTACCCATAGATTGTAAAACTATGAAACTGAAATAAACGATAAAAATTAACCGCATTGTTAGTTATGGTTAGTTAATAGTTAATCCCCGGCAACTTTGTTGCGTAAACTTCCTTTAAATTCAAATATCCATGTACTAAATTACATCAGAATCAATGTAAAGAAAAATAATACAAACATTTGGCTTCCAGTTTATTTAAATAAGCAATAATACATAAACAATATTATGTGCTAATCCCTAAATACATAATTATATGTAATTTCATTCATTTCCAAAGATTAAACTAATATCACATTTTAAATCCATTCACTTATGTATACAACTAACTTAAATTCAGGAACAAAAAATATTCGACGATTTTATATAAGCGTAAGTTTTGTAATAAAAAACAATTATACACCACATATGCACAGAGAACATTAGGGCCGATTCTGAAGTATCATTTCTCTAAACGTATTTTTTTTTTTATACAACTTAGAATGTCAAACGAGCTGACGGCCCACCTGATGGAAAGTGGTAACCGTCGTCTATAGACATGAGCAGTACCATGGACAGTAACAGAGTATACTATTTCACCCATGACACCCCCCATGCGTTGCCATTCTTGAGGACTCAGGTGTTATTCCTCTGTACCCTGTAAATTCACATCATATCCCACCCTTCAAACCGAAACACAGCCATGCAAACACAACTGCTTCACGGTAGAAACACGAACGGGACAGAGGTGACCAAGGAAACGACTTTTGTACAAAGTCTCCCTCTCTCTGTGTGTGTAATGAAGATATGAATTACATCTATTAGAAAATGAGTTCATATTGGTTATAATAAAGATTTTGCTGTATACAATACCATTTTTTTTTAATTTTAGAAATAGATTTAAAGAAATGGCTCCTCAGAATTGACTCCAATAACAAATGTTTAATTACCTAAACACGAGAGCATGTTTCTCGAAGCGACGTCGTCACTATACAAAAAAATTCAATTTACAAACGACGAGTGTATAAATACACTTGCATATAGGTGAACTCGATCGTAAAGCATTTATAAATAAAATATATATACATACATATTCGAAAGCAATAGAACAAATAATACAACTACTTTCTAAGTACATAGTTCCAAGCTTTTAACTTTTTATTTACAGTTTCTGTACTTATTTCATTAATTTCTTGTTTAACGATTTCATTAATTATTACATCATAAAGTATTAAGTTTATGAAGTTCCGGGTTTATTTCTCTATTAAACCAATTTAGGGAATACACTGAAGTATATAGTTTCTCATCTATAACATAGAAAATTATTCAAATTCTAAAAAAAAAAAATTAAAAAACTGAATTTATATTTAAAAACAGTATCTTTGAAGTTGGTATACCGGCGAAGATTGCGCGATGAAGATGAGGTACAATCAAACAGCGGTGTTATAGTATACAAGGATAATTAAAATTCTGATATAACGCCACACCACACATGCAGGAGATATAAAGAGTACAGACACTAATCTAACAGGTTACAACAATGTTTTCTCACTCCTAGTACGTTTCAGAGCAACAATCTTTTTGCGCGGCAAAATTATCTGTCAAAAAGACAGGGTTGCCATATAACTAAGAAAAGTCTAATTTGATTGACAATAAAATTGAAATAATTTCATTACAACACGATACACTTAACTGCTGTTTAAATAAATAATTTACACAAAGTGTAACCCCGCCCCTTTACCAGGGAGGGAATTAATAAAAAAAAATCCATTACTTCTCTCATATGTAGATTACATATCGACGTTTAATCACCAATATCTCCTAACTGCCATTTACAATTTTTTTTTTTATACGACTTAGAATGGGAAACAAGCTGATGGTTCACTTGATGGAAAGTGGTAACCGTCGCCTATAAACATGAGCAGTACCATGGACATAACAAAGTGTACTGTTTCGCCCATGATACCCATATATATGTGTTGCCATTCCTAAGGACTCAGGTGTTATTCCTCTGTACCCAGTAAATTCACGCCATATCCCACCCTTCAAACCAAAGTACAGCCATGCAAACACAGCTGCTTCACGGTTGAAACACGAATGGGGCAGAGGTACCCAAGCAATCGATATTAGTTTAGTTTTTTTCTTAACTTTCATATTTTCTTTTCTATTACAAAGAGAAATCATTTTTACTTTAATATTTTGATAAATTACGTTGAAATCAACTACATAACTTTTTTAGTTCCATTCTATTTAGAACAAGTTCAGTACTATATGATATATTCCGTGTGTCATGTAAAATGTTGTCCGTGTTAGGAGCTTTTGGCGGTTAAACGTCTATATCGTATTCGTCATCGTATCAGTCGGTACCGAAGTATTTCTGCCCGAAGTGATTGGGCGCTACTGGGTGCAGCTCAGACGTGAGGATCTTCATCTTGGGCACATAGTCGACGACTGCTCGCACGGCCGCCGGAGTGCAAAACAGATTTGATAGGATAATACGCTCCTCCTTAACGCCATGCTGAGTCAGAACATTAACTGCCTGTAATTAAAACAAATATTGTTTGTAAATCCTACTATTATTTTAAACACGAAACTTCTTTACAACGATTGGATGGATGTCTATTATTCTTTCACAAAAAAATACCGAATGGATTAGAATGAATTTGGTACATGGATGGATTACATAGTAACTTAATATATCGTCATAGTAGTAGAATACTGACGGATCTCACAAAGATTACATATAAAGATCCATATTATTTATTTATGTATCAATGTTTTAATGTATGTGAGGTATTTTATAAAATTAAGGTATGATGAGGCTGACATATCCTTATGGGATAAAAGCCTCTAAATAAAAAAGATAATAAAAAAAATATAAAGATCCGTCAGTATTCTACGACTATGACGATATAAGATACTTTATATAGGTACTGATTCACCGCCAAAACTGCGGGATATAGCTGGTAGGTAATATTTTAAAGCAGTAACACTTTGAAGAACAGTAAATAATTTTCCAAGAGAACAGCTTTTACGCCGTGTGGTCCTGACATAGAATGGGCCACCCCTTTCCTAAGAGTGACGTAAGAGGCGACTAAGGTAACTTAAAGGTCCAGCGATGGGCAGAAGCGTCCCTTTTTAAACATCATCAAAGCCTAACTGCGGGTGCCAACCTGCCTGCCAAGCAAGGCTATTACTGGAAAAACCCCCATAGGAGAAGGCCTATGATCAGCAGTGGACAGTTAATGGCATGGTATGGTATATGTTTAACAATATGATAGAGGTCGATTCTCTACAACAGCAAACACTGTACAAATACAGACAGAACTAATAACAATAAACCAAACAGTAACAGTAAATTTAGTTCCTAAATCGCTCTAAAGAGGCAGCACCAGCATTTGTTCTTTTATGACTTTTAGGTAATACAAAGTATATCAAACATTAAGATTGACATGTTTGTCAGTTTATAAATAATCACACTGTTATATCATGCAAATTTAAGCTACCCAAAATTATACACATCGAGTTACTTAATCAAAGGATGGTTGCCAGTTTAAGCTTTGGATTAAGGAGAAAAGAAAAAAGGCGGTCAAATTAATGCTCACTTTTTTTATATGTTTACTAACGAGCCGCCCCCCATGGAGGGAGAAGGGATTGTTAGTAATAGGGAGTAGTAGCCCCATTGCTAGCAATATACCCCCTAGAAACCATCGTGATTGATTTATTGTTAAATTCGTCAGGGTGGACTGATCTATTTTATCCTCACTTAACATCCCTCACTGGTGCCCCGCAAGTGGATACCGACAGCGCAGGCGAGGTTATCCATTAAGGATGATAATGGAATGGTAAATAAAAAAACAGCTGTCCCAGCTTCCCATTGTCGCAAATATTTGTTTAACTTTTAAACTGTTCATCACATTTTAGTACTGGACTAATATTCTCTAAAATTTTGAAAATGAAGGACTTTTAACATAAAAGCAATCTTTTTGACTGAGATATAAAACTCATATATGTATATGGTGTCGCGGACTTCTTTGTAAAGTTAAAAGTAATGAATAGTTTTGCAATAGATTTTATTGCTTTATTTCAAACAGTTCAAATTCGGATCAGTAATACTCTAAACAACAAAACACACAAACATTACCTCTTTACAATTTTAGTATAGATTAAGTTCTATTATAACAGACAGACAGCATACAAGCCCTGCTTAGATTGTAGGAAATAGATGGTAATATATAAATTACTGTTCTTCATCCAAAGGTTGCCTGGAAGATATCACTCTTAATGATAAGGTTGCCGGGGGGAAAGGGATTGTTAGTAATGGAGACAGAGAATCCCATTGCTAGCAATATACCCAACCAGGTCGACCTCCTCGCGGTTCCCCCTGGAAACTATCATGGTTAATTCCTGATGAATTCATTATGATGGGCTAACTGGCCTGTTTTCATTCTTATCTATCACCCTTCACTGGTGCTCCGCCAGCGTATCCCATTAGCGCAGGCGGGGCTACCAAACCATTTTCACCCATCAAAAAAAAAATGATAAGGTTGCCAATTATTTTCTTACTGTAATATTTTCTTGTAATTATGGATGAAACAATGAAGGGTATCTATCTGTCTATCTATATTAAAAATAAATAAATAAAAATCAACCATATCACGTACCTGTTTTACTGTATTCCCTGTGGACATGATAGGGTACATGAGTAGCACCTGCCTGCGGGCTATGTCCTCCGGAAACTTGGCGTATACCACGTGAGCTTCGTGCGTGTCCGTATCACTCTCCACGAGGATCTTACCGATGCGGATGGAACGGCAACAATCACGGAGACCCTGCAGTGTACGATACTTAAGTAAGTACAGTGACAACTACACAACTGAATGTCATATAATTCAATGCTTTAAAAATCCATAACAAATAGCTAATTATTATTGAATATTGTTTAGACATGTATGAGATAGAATGAGACGGCAACAACTGGCATCTCGCCCTTGCTTATACGTGCGCCGAACAAAATAATTATTGATAGATTTGTTTGCCACTTGCCTAGGGGGATCAGTTTAGACAGTCTCAGTGACATAATAATAAGCCCATCAGTTTGCGAAAAAGAGTATGGGTTGGATTCTGAGGGTCAATCATAACTCGAGGGCCATGGTTGTATGGAAATAAAAAATTATTACAACTAAAAAGTGTAAGTCTGTATCTAGTAAATTTAACGATGTCTTAAATACTTCTATAAAATTTCTAGAAACTTTCGAAACTTACCTATCAATTAGATTACATAATTACTGCCATATTTACAAAATTAAACACATAACATAAAAATAATAATACAAAGAATATTTTATAAAATAAAAAAAGGGTCTAAATCTCTTGAAAATTGACACATACCTGTTCCATGGCCTCTCCCGATCTAACAATTGAAACCCCACAATTGCCAGCACCATACTTCAAACCCTTGTATATGGCTCCAGTCGGAGTAACCACTTCGCAATCAGTGAATGGCAACTTGTTTAAGCTCTCCTCAATAACCAGTCTGATCAGACGATCAGCGTAGAACTTGAAGTCACTGCGTGTTGTATTCCTAGAACATTTACAAGTAAATTTATTTAAAAAAAAAATTCATAAAGGATTGAAAATTAAGTAAATTAGAAAGAAGAAAGAATATTAAAAAGTTTTCTTTTATTGTTGTTCAGTTGATATAATAAATAATTTTTAAACAATAAAATAATTATATTTTAAATAAATAAAAATAAACTTACAAAATAACTATTCTTTATCTAGTAGTAGATATTTGTAGTATAAGTAAAAACATATCATAGAAGACAAGATATGGGACACAGAAAAAGGATCTCTGAAGAAAAGTTGGGAGGAAAACATAACAAGTATAGCAGGAAAGTTATGGTACTTATAAGATAATAATAAAGTTAGCAAAGGCGAACTTATCTCTAAAAAGAATTTCTTCCAGTCAACCTAACACAGTAACATACGAAGTAGTGAGTGGGCAGTAATAGTGCTAAACAGAAACTAAAATAAATAAAATAATAATAAATTAAAAATCAATAAATTACAAGTAATTTGTAATATTAATACATAACTACAGGGGGGAAATGGATTGTTCATAATGGAGTTTGACAGCCCCATTGCTAGCTCCATGTGGTTCCCCTGGAAACCTTGGTGAACAATTCTTGTTGAATTCGTCAGGATGGGCTAACTGACCTACTTCATGCTCACCTATCATCCTCCACTGGTGTCCGGCCGGTGTATAACGATAGCGAGGGTGGGGTTACCAATCCATTATCATCCATTAAAAAAATACATACCTACATATTATAGATATATATAAACCAGAGGGAGACTTTGTACAAAAGTCGATTGGTTGGGTACCTCTGTCCATTCGTGTTTCAACCGTGAAGCAGCTGTGTTTGTATGGCTGTGTTTTGGTTTGAAGGGTGGGATATGACGTAAATTTACAGGGTACAGAGGAATAACAACTGAGTCCTCAGGAATGGCAACACATGGGGGGTATCATGGATGAAATAGTATATTCTGTTATGTCCGTGGTACTGCTCATGTCTATAGGTGACGGTTACCACTTTCTATCAGGTGGACCGTCAGTTGTTTGCCATTCTAAGTTGTATAAAAAAAATCCTACATAAATAAGAATACATGTCAAATAAAAGAGAAAACAAGTCTTCTAATCAATAATATTCAAACGAAATTAGAAAGATAGATTGATTTTAATCTTTTTTTGAAGGAATTGCTAGATGGGCTATTCTGGATACCCACAAGAAGTTTATTCCACAGCTGTGCAGCACGGAATGCAAATGAATTACTCATAAAGAACTTTTAGCTTCTTTTAGTAATGTAATGAATGATTACATCGTTGAACTCATATTTTTGTAACGAGAAAATAAGTGCAACTTAACAAAATTAAATAACATAAACTTACTTGTCCCTGAGTATAGTTTGCAGCTCTTTAATGTTATCATTTGATGGAAGTAGGGTTAAACTATCGCCAAATTGCTCTTTAATATCTTTGGCGTCCCACGGTCTAATATCATTGTCTACTATATCCATTTTTTATTTTAAAATTAAAACAATATTACACGAATCTACAAAAGTAATTTTATATTGTATACAAATTTCATAATATTAAAGATTCACGTCAAAACGAAGAATAAGGTAAGGCACTGTAAGTACCAAGGGAAACGGTACATGATAGCTTTGACAGTACGGACAGATAAAAAATCAGCAGTGATTTAGATTAAGGGGGAACAAACCACATCCTTACCATAGACAACGAATAAAGTATCGTAAATGAGAAAGAGGGAGGAACAGCAACAATTTACAAACTTTGCCAATAAACTTGATTTATTTCTGCAATTTTTTAATTTTATATCATATACGACACCTTATAGAATCGTTTCGTATAGCTTTGTTAGAAAAAATATTTTTTTTTTATAATGCGTCGTCATTATATCAATTTATTTCATAATGCATTTCGAATTATTATATGTAGAACAATATTATAGTAGTTTTTTTGTAAACCAAACTTACATTGCCTAAGGACCTTAATGAAATAAGGTTTGTTGCTACATTATATAAGAATTATATAAAAATTTAATGCTGTTTTAACTCCTGTATCTATCCTACATCTACGCTCTGTTCTATTAATGTATTGTTCACTTTCAAGTTATGACAAATATGAAGAATAATAATTTATTTTTTGTGCATATGCGGCACACGATTCATCTCTTTCGAAGATCACCACTGGCACAACGACTGCTTCATCTGCGCTCACAGCAAGACCTCCCTAATTGGCAAAGGTTTCATCACCAACGGACAAGACATCATCTGCCTGGAGTACGCACAAACAAAAGCTAATGTAAATAAATAACGCCAGCTTGCATTAACGCTTCCTCTCGTCACGTGTGTAACTGCACATTTCCAACTAGAGAGCAAATTTAAAAATTAAATAACAACTCACCGTCGATTTAAGATTAAGAAAAAAATCCAGATTCTGACAACATATAAATAAGCAAAAGTTACTGGCCACTACAGATCTACGAAAACAACATAAGCCACATTAAAAAAAATTAGCAAATGATGAAAAGGATTAAATCTTGCTGGTACAGTCTCTTATTCTCCCTATACTTGATTACGGTGACGTCTGCTGCACAGACATAAATGAAGATCTCTTACATAAATTGGATCGTCTTCTAAACAATAGCATAAGTATTGTTTTTAATCTTCATAAGTATAACCATATCTCTCCCTACCGCGCTCAACTTAAGTAGCTCCCTATCCAACTGCGTAAAATTACACGCATATTGTGTACTCTGCATTCCATTTTATTCGATTCAAACTCTCCCGACTACCTTAAGTGTAAATTTTTATTTCAAAGACCCATCATAATCCTTTCAAGATTCTTCTTCTTCACATGCCTGTTTATTGTACTGGCTTTATTTCCCATTTCTTCTATGTTCAGGCTATTAGACACGGAAACGAACTCCCGTTTTACATAAGATCTACCCTAAGCAAACTAGCTTTTAAACATAAATTGCGCTACTATTTAAAAAAAAATCGTTTTATAAACTTTATTATTATATTTTTTTAATGTTTTAATTTCCTGTAATCTTGCTGGTAACTTTGTATAAGTCATAAATTGTTTCATTTACTCTTCTAATATAATTAATGGTTTGTTATAGTAATATTTATGTATTTGTTTATGTATATTTAATATATTATATGTATGTTCTTTTCTGCACCGCCAATTTATTTTTCGGTTTACCCAATGTTTGATTGGTATAGAAAACTCTCCAGTATCATATGTAAATAGTTTTTCTGTACATTAAAGTTTAAATTACATCCGAATCGATATCAATCTAAGTAATATATTCAAACTTATCTTTTCAAAGTTTATACAATGCTAATATTTAATAAACTAAGCATTTATATAATCGTTATCACTTGTCGACCATAAGAACGAAAGTAGGGAAATGTAAAGAAAAATAATACAAACATATGATATCTATCCAGTTTATTAAAAAATACATACATAAACAACATTATGTGCTATGTTATTCCCTAAACACATAATTATGTGTAATTTCATTCATTTCCAAAGATTAAACTAATATCACATTTTAAATCAGTTCTCTTATTTCTAACTTAAATTCAGGTACAATATATTCGACGATATTACATAAGCGTGATCATTAAAAAAAAATACATAGTTATTGTAAGTCAGAATTTTAATGTACCCCATAATGGATACACACACATATTTTTATTTATTATAATATTACAAAAAATTACAATTTATAAATAACCTACAGATCATGCAAGTGTGGATTCACTTGCATACAAGTGAACTTAACCGCAAAGCACTTATAAGATGAAAAATATATATACATTCTATCTTATTATTTACAGTTTTTGTACCCACTTCATTAATATCCTGGTAAACGATTTCATTAGTTACATCATAAAGTAATCACTAAAATTTTATTCCTGTCAGCTTTTGGCGGTTATAAGTCTGCATCGTATTCGTCGTCGTACCAGTTAGTAGCTAAGTATTTCTGCCCGAAGTGTATGGGCGCTACTGGGTGCAGCTCAGACGTGAGGATCTTAATATTGGGCACATAGTCGACGACTGCTCGCACGGCCGCCGGTGTGCAAAACAGATTTGATAGGATAATACGATCTTCTTTAACGCCATGCTTAATCACAACATTCACTGCCTGTAATTAAAACAATATTGTTTGTCAGACCTATTAATATATATCGAAAAAATAAATAAAATAAAATAAAAATCAACCGCATCACGTACCTGTTTCACTACATTCCCCGTGGACATAACAGGGTACATGAGTATCACCCGCCTTCGGTCTATGTCCTTAGGGAACTTGGCGTATACCACGTGAGCTTCGTGCGTGTCCGAATCACTATCCACGAGGATCTTACCGATGCGAATGGCGCGGCAACAGTCACGGAGACCCTGCGGTGTATGATACTTAAGTAAGTACGGTGACAACTACACAATTGAATTTTCTCTGTTCATGTCATATATTTCAATGCTATAAAAATCCATAACAAATAGCCAATTATTACTGAATATTCTTTATACATGTATGAGATAGAATGAGACGGCAACAACTGGCATCTCGCCCTTGCGTGCGTCTAACATCATAATTATTGATAGATTTGTTTGCCACTTGCTTATTAATACAAGCAATAATTTATGAAATAAAAAAGGGTCTAAATATCTTGAAAAATATAAATAAAATATAAAGAGAAATATATAGAACACCTGCCTGTTCCATGGCTTCTCCCGATCCAACGATCGAAACCCCACAATTGCCAGCATCATGCTTCAAACCCTTGTATATGGCTCCAGTCGGAGTAACCACTTCGCAGTCAGTGAACGGCAACTTCTTTAAGCTCTCCTCAATAACCAGTCTGATCAGACGATCAGCGTAAAATTTGAAGTCCCTTCGTGTTGTATTCCTAGTGAATTCACAAGTGAATCAATATTAGATATATGTATATTTAAAAAGGATTGAAAATTAGGGAATTTAGGAAGAAAAAAGAAAATTAAAACAGTCTTATTTTATTGTTGTTTAGTTGATTCAATAATTTTCAGACAATAAATGACTAAAATAATTATATTTTAAAAAGAAAATATACTTAGTTATAGCAAATAAATTCCTTATCTACTACTATTTATCTGTAGTATGGGGAAAAAATTTATCGCGAGGGGACAAGATCGATGGGACACGGAAAAAAGAATCTCGGAAGAAAACCTGAGAGGAGGACATAAAAAGTACAGCAGGAAAGAGTTATTGTAAAAACACAGGATTTATCACATAAAGGACTTTTAACTTTATTTAGTAATGAAATTATTTATTATCATGTTAAACTTACTTGTCTCTGAGTATAGTTTGTAGCTCTTTGATGTTATCATTTGATGGAAGTAGGGATAAACTATCGCCAAATTGCTCTTTTATATCTTTAGCGTCCCACGGCCTAATATCGTTGTTAATTTTATTCATTTTTTTTTTATTTTAAAACAAAATAATACTTCACAAAATGTACAAAAATATGTTATATTCTGTACAACTTTCACAACGTCTGTAACGATTGACGTCACATCGAACACTAAGGTAAGGCACTGTAAGTACCAAGGGAAACGGCACATGATAGCTTTGACAGTACGGACAGGTAAAAAATCAGCAGTTATTTAGATTAAGGGTACAAACCCTATCATTATCATAGACAATGAATAAAGTATCGTAAATGGGAGAGGGGGAGGAATACCAATAATTTACAAACTTTGCCAATAAGCTTGATTTATTTCTGCAAAATTTTTAATTTTATATCATATACGACACCTTACGGAATCGGTTCGTATAGCTTTTCTTATATTTACGGTGTTAAGAGTTTCAGAAAGTAAATAAAACGTACATTCTTTCTATTCACCCGGCATCTGGGGTCAATAGAAACGAATAAAGTAGTACAGACATAATAACGAAGCAAACTAAGCACGAGGGACACGCCTAAACTCACACATCTACATACACATTTGCACTAATACAAATGCAGGGACGAACTTAGAATTTTAACTTAAAATAGAACTTTAGATTCAGGGAGAAATTATCTCAAGCAGTATATGCTAGGCTAGTGGGCTAGTGGGCTCGCACCCGAAAAACACATTAGTACATTCCAAAATTTTTTTCTAACAAACCAGAGGGTTTGGTAGAAAAAAATTTTGACCCGAGCATGGTTAATTTTGCTCTGCTCAAATTAATGAAATAAGGTTCATTTCTACATTATATAATAATTATATAAAAATTTAATGCTGTTTTAACTCCTGTATATATAAAAAGGCAGATTTTATATCATACATATGTTTCAGATATTACACAGGAAATAAGGTAGGAGAGAGATCACTCCAAAATGAAAGCTAAATTCAATATCTAATACTGGTATTGAAATTGAAGCTGATCGATGGTTTTGATGATGAAGCTGATTTGAACCCGGAAACTAGTGTTCGGCCAAAAAAGGTACCCAGGTGGACGAATGAAGTATTCCGATTCAGGGTAATGACGCGGAAAGCTTTTAATGAGGCGAAGCGCAGTAAAAACTTTAATGAATACCATAGGCTACTACTACCACTACAGTAAAGCAGTGAGGAAAGTAAAGAGAGAAGCGCAGAAGAGGCATTGCGAAAATATTGGCACCCCACCGGAAGGAATGAGGTTATCTATAAGCAATCTCCACCACCAAGGCAATTCCATTAACATCTATTAGGAATGCTAACAGAATACAAACGGAATCTGAAAAGGAAACTTTATATGTAATGCTCAGCACTCACTTTACAGATTCGAGGCTTATAATAGATTATGCGGATGATCCAATTGATGAGGAAGAACAACAAAGAAAAACTTTCAAATCCGATTGGAATATTGAAAAAAAAAAGGTGTTGACCGAAGAGAAAGTTACATGGGCGATGGGAACCTTTGAATCGTTCAAGTCACCAGGTCCTGATGATATCTATCCGATTCTACTACAGGAGGAGAGTAATTTGCTTGTTCCCCATCATATTTATACAAGATTATACAAGGGCTGTTTAGCGTTTGGCTATGTACCCAAGATATGGAGACAGGTGAAGGACATTTTCATCCCTAAATCGAGAAAAGAGAAATTATGAAGACCCAAAATCCTTTAGACCAATAAGTCTTCAGTGTTTCTTGATTAAAACTTTGGAAAAAATTATAGATAGGTATATAGGAGATGATCCCTTGAAGAAATATCCAGTTCAAAGGCTACAATGTGCCTATCAATCAGGCAAATGGACAGACTACATTACATTATGTAGTAGTTAAGGTAGGTAAGTCATCTAGAGGCTGCATTAGAGAGGAAGGAAGCGTGTATCGCCGCCTTTGCGGAAACGGAAGGAACATTTGATCGCACGACATTCAATTCGATTAATCAAGCAGTAAGGAAACATGGCATTCCTTCCACACTCTGTAGGTGGATAGACTGTATGAGTTACTAGGGGGCAAAAATAAAAGCCACTACTACTAAGGGATGTCTCAAGGGAGGGGTACAGACACCAATACTATGGTGTCTTGTATCAGACTCTCTTATGATATTACAAAATGAAAAACCAGTCTATACTGTTGGATATGCAGATGATATGGTTATAGTGGTGAACGGAAAATTCTCAAATATACTATCAGAATTGATACAAACAGCTCTACAGCAATTAGACTGATGGTGTGAAACACATCACTTCTCAGTAAATCCTGGGAAGACTACGGTTATTCCTTTTACCAGATAGAGAAACCTAGCATTTATGGAAAAAGACTATTATATGAATGATATTATGGTCACAATTTCATTAGCAAATTATTAAGTTACTTGAGCGTTAACAAAATATAACACAATCACCAGAGGGAGACTTTGTACAAAAGTCGTTTGCTTGGGCACCTTTGTTCCATTCTTGTTTCTACCATGAAGTAGTTATGATTGCATGGCTGTGTTTCGGTATGAAAGGCAGGATATGGCAATGAATTTAGAGGATACAGAGGAATAACACCCAAGTCCTCAGGAATGGCAACTCATGGGGAGTATCACGAGTGAAATAGTATACTCTGCTATGTCCATGGTACTGCTCATGTCTATAGGGGACGGTTACCACTTTCCATCAGGTGGGTTGTCAGCATGTTTGACATTCTAAGTTAATTAAAAACAAAAACAGCACTTAACCCAGAAGGTTGATGGAGTGGGAGTGAGACATAGGAAAAAGTTTCTCCTTCTTAGTGGAGTTTCCGAAAGTGAGAATAATCTTGCTTTCGTTATTGCCAAAATGCTCAATGTATATTTTGGCTTGTCTGAGATTCAGTCCGCTGACATAGTCAGTCGTCATAGATTCGAAGCCGTGTCCGAGGGAGGGATGTTGTAAACCAATTGTCATTCATCCTGTTGATTCGACTCTTCGAATGTCCATTTGGTCAAAAAAAAAACAAAGCTAGCAAAGGGAACTAATAACTTAGTTCCCTTAATTCTTCGATATACTTAATAGTATATCGAAGAGTTTTTAACAAGATGCAGACACTCACTTTTTTTAGGGGCGCGCAAACGGCTGGCTGTGAGAAACGTCCGGACGCTTGACGGTCGCAAAACATACGCAGAAGACTCGTCGGGTATCCGTCCACGTATTTCCAAAGCAGAAGAGGTCGACGCATTTCTTCAAGGATCTATCCCGCCTTTCGAATAGGCGTCTTTTCGTTCGATGCCAACGATGGTGCCTCTCAGCCTGTGCAGCTAGCTGGAAGAAGTCGTCGTGGTAATAAGCCAAAACATTGACCTTATAGTTGACTAAATAGTCGATGATTAAACGTGTATATTATTAGTCCTCTTAATATTGTTTTTAGATTACCTGCTACATTTTTATCTATCATCACCGTCGTTTTCTTTTTTATAAATATCATATTTTGTTTGGATTGATAAGGTTATTAATATTATGATTTGATACTACTGTCATTATCTGACTACGTTATTCAGAGGTCAACACTATTGTTATATACACGATTTGTGAGGTAAATCTATGCAACCACCCAAAACTGTCATAACAATCAATAACAATTGTTATATATCCATTTCATTTATAACATTTATTTCAATAAATGTTATAAATGAAATAATTAAATCCTTTAATATCTATGACCAACAACACTTGAATACTTTTATTTACATTATAATATCTTCAATTTACAAAATATAATGAACTGGTTGCATTGAATTATTGTATTATTAATTTTCGAAGTGATGCGAATTTGCCGTCAATTGATTTATGACTTCCAGATTTTTTTTATCATATATTGTCAGAGGGCAATTGTAATATGTATCATACTGCCTATTTTTTTTTCTCGCATGCGTTTTTATACACATATATTCAATCATAGGACAAGGATAATATTTAGTTCTCATAATATATATATTTTGAATATAGCTATTTACAATTTATAACGAATTCGGATTATGGAATACTTAACTTCTTATTATTATTATTGAATAAAGTTACAAAAAAACTGTTTCTTATCTAGTATTTATTTTATGTAACAATCAATCAATCAAGGTCGACTTGCCCGCCGATGTTGCGTGGGCGGGCGAGGTAAGGGCTTCGGGGTATACCCCTCTACCCCGGCTTCAACTCCGGAGGCGACGACCTCCGGGTCGCTGGGTTCTTCAGCCGGCATACACTGATGGTCTGTGTATGCCGGCGTGGTTTCTTATGTAGTATATTTCTTATATAATATTAAATTAGTAATGACCTCCTCATTAGGGCATCATCCTGCTTAGGGTTAAGGAAAAAAGACAAATTATTAGAACTTATGAGGACAGAAGGGGAAAATGTTGGGACACTTGATATGACACGACGAACTTATGGACATTATAATAGATGGTAAGATAGAAGGAAGGAGGGGAAGAGGGAAACCGAGGTATAGTTACATCAGGTATTGTTCAATAAGGAGGTGTTTCCAACATGCGACCCACACACCACAGGGTGGTTTGATGGTTAAGGGGGGCAATTAAAAAATGGACTCGAAGCGATTTTAACCCTTTTGCTCCGGGTTATTTAAATGCAATGCTATGAGTAGATATCGGTGCCAAATATAACAAAAAAGTAAATAAAAAAATGCTGTAAAAATTTATTAGGTATAATTTCGTTTGACGTTACCAAAATATCAACTGGGCGATTAGAGTCGTCAAGTAAATTTTGTTGGGAAAAATTATGTTTCGAAGCATAAAAATTTTTGAAATATTCAAGTGGGGCATGGCACAAAAAAGGTTGGGAAACACTGCTCTAAGGTAAACAAAATATGGTCTTTGATTCTTGAATTTCTCATGATGAGTCAACTAAATTGCTTTCGTCTTCATTTATAACCTCATTGGTGCCCCATCACTGTATGTCAATGTGTATGTCAATAGACTGATACCAATCATGCCCCCTTTTATAAGACGCTGAGTATAAAATATTGCGCGCGTAATACCCCTGGTATTGCAGGCGTTCATAGGCTACAGTAACCAATTATCATCAAGTAGGCCGTATGCTTGATCGCCACCTGTGGCATAAAAAAATTATGACTTTTTTTTTATTGGATGAAATAAAATGGTAACCCCGCCTGCGCTAATGGGATACGCTGGCGGGACACCAGTGAAGGGTGATCGATGAGAATGAAAACAGGTCAGTTAGCCCATCATGATGAATTCATCTGGAATTAATCATGATAGTTTCCAGGGGGAACCGCGAGGAGGTCGACCTAGTTGGGTATATTGCTAGCAATGGGATTCTCAGTCACCCATTACTAACAATCCCTTTCCCCCCTGATGACGACCTTAGATGATGACAGATCTATCGCAGTAAGAGGTCGTGGATAGAGAAGCGAAATAGTAGTATGTAGATTTTTTAATGTAAGGTGATACCTATATAAGATCTGTCATTACCATATTTTACCCTCAAGGTTTTATAAGTTGCATAAAAAAAAGCTTGGATGATCTGCCTATCTTAAACGGAACGGTATTGTATTACAGTACGGTACACTTTTAAACGTATTTGAAAGTGTGATTAAACTATTGTAAATACTCGTATATTTATAGCTTTGTATTAACTAAGAGTCTGGATCGAAAAATAGAATTGCATGCTGAAAAATTATAAATATCTCCATTCTATATCATCATTATCATGCAGACTTTAACTGTCCACTGCATTATATAGGTCTCCTCCTGAGGACTGCCAGTAGTTGCCACGCTTGGCAGGCGGATTGGCAACCCTAGTTAGGATTTAGAGATGTTTTAAGAGGAACGCTGTTGCATAACCCTTTCCCTCCCTTAGTCGCCTCTTACGACACCCATGAGAAAGCCGACCTATTCTATGCTGGGACCACACGGCCAATTCTATACATAATTGATCAATCTACATGGATTATGTTTTTTTTCTATACAACCTAGAATGGCAAACAAGCTGACGGTCCACCTGATGGAAAGTGGTAACCGTCGCCTATAGACATGAGCAGTATATGCGCCCATGATACCCCCATGCGTTGCTATTCCTGAGGACTCAGGTGTTATTACTCTGTACCCAGTAAATTCACGCCATATCCATGCAAACATAACTGCTTCACGGTAGAAACACGTATGGGACAGAGGTATCTAAGCAATCGACTTTTGTACAAAGTCTCTATGATTTCGATTTTTAAATGAGATACAGAGTTCTATTGTAAAAAAAAAATAAAACAATATATTCATTAACGCTTTATTTGCCCAGAAAATACAAATTAATGACTGCAAGAATATTTCCACTTTCATATTGTAGTTCATATTGATTATTCAATGATATTATAAACATATTTCTGTTCTGAAATTGTAACCATAAAATGTCATTCATAAAAATATATTCTCAAAATATTTTTTTATGTATCGCACATGGAACTGTAACCGCTAATTCATCCTAGGCAGATCAAGATAAATATCCATATCTTGTAAAATATAGAAAAAAAAAAACAAAATAAATTATAAATAAATGCTGTAAATTATTTATGAATGATCATAATTGTAATCGATACAAGAAAAACACTAGTCGCCATTATAATTTCACCTGTAAAAGCAGCGGATTGGTATGTACCTAATTAATAGATAATAAACAATTATATATTTGAATGGTGTCTAATGATGATCAAGCGGCTTGAATCAAGCACATATTTTAATGCTTGTAAGATAGACGAAGTTTGTAAGGTACTTCAAGCCGCTTGGCTCATCTACAGAACCCATAACAAATATCATCCGCTATGTATCTCACTATTTGTTACTGCCAAAGTTCAAAAGGTGTCAGGGCTGCCACAATCCCCCGATGCGGCATTGTAAGATTGAAACATTAAGATATAGAAATTTATTACATATTAATGTGTTATTAATATTTAGCTAATCTTAGCCTACTTTCAGAGTGAACATAGGCTACGATGAGCAGTACTATATGAAATATAAGCTGTTCTATAGTTGTAGCGTTTTATAAAGAGCCAGTCAAAAGGTATACAATGCGACATCGTTATTTACACATTATGTTTTATTGTGACAGCCCTTAAACCATGTATACACTAGAAACATTTAAAAACAAAAAAGACAGAGAAATTATGTCATAAAAGTAGAATGTAAGAAATATCAATCAATTGTGTGCTTGCACATTATAGACATTTGGATTACTTCATGATTACTGTAAGAATGCATTAAAAATGTTGACTAGTGAATACACGGTATAAATGCAAGAACAAACACAAGAAGTTTAAAATTAAATAAGATATTGCGAAGTGAACAAAAAAAAAACAGACTAGTTTTTCCTCCACTTAGTGTTACCTAAATATTAAGACAATATTGTTCAAATATGTTTCTATAAGCTGCTCCAGTTGTGATGTACTTCGGCGAAATAAAAAACAATATATTATTTCGAAAACCAAGTACCGCAATTTTTATTTAGTTTTAAATTTCTCGTCATTTATGTGAATAACACCATTAATGAATTGGCAGACAGAATTATAAAATGATATTAAGCAAAAAAATAAATAAATATATGTCAAAATTTGTACACTGTACTATATTTCCCAGTCCACTATATAATAAAGAGTCCTATACAAAATCCTAGTAAATATCCCGCTGATGACAGCATTACAAAATTAGACAAGAGTAGTCTAGAAACATAGATAACAAAATAACCTTATTTATTTCATTTTCTCAATGACAGCTCTTATTATCAATGGGGTTGCCATTTGTCAAAAATAAAAATGTGTCCAAAACAAATATTTAAAGCGGGTACAATATAGAAGGGGATGTCACCCGTAGAATGAAACAGCAATCTGTTTGGAAATATTTCTAACACAAAGTATATTGAAATTATTAAATGAAGTTATATTTGTTTATTTTATTGCTTTATATTATATAATACCTAATATATATGGCAATAAAATGGACAAGGCATGCCATATCTTGGTTAGACGAAATAATATAAAATTCAGCATTCTAATTTGGTATTTTATGGACATTGTATTATTTAAAATAATGAAAACAAGCATTATAAAAATATTTCAACTGGAATAGCTATAAACATTACGGCCCCTTATAAAATAATTTGACCTTATCATAAACATAGCCTGTATTAAGGATCGGTCAATAGATTACTACTATGGCGTAACGGTTGTGCCTTTAGATGGCAGTGTGTATCCAAATGCGTCGGGGTTATATTATTTATTTAAAAACTATCAACAAAGAACTTTTGACTTGTACAAAGAAACAACAACGTTATTAAGTAGAACACTGTTTCAAAATGTACGAACTTCCACTTCTGTACTTTTTCAGGTGTAAACGTAATATTTTTATATTAAATTATCGAATTATCGCCTTCTAAATGTATTCCCACCACAACCTTGTTATTACAAATTGCCCATTTTGACGTAAATACAATCGTATGACAAATTATAAGTTAATATATAACGTTAAACGAAGTTAGTCGCACCCTTTCTCATTATAACAAAGCATTGGTTGGACAATATGGGTCGTTGTCCATTTAACGCCTTTGCTCTGCCACGCATTCCGAGTGTAAAAAAAAATACATTCTGTATTTGAATATTTGACAGCGCCGTCCATTCAATATCGCGTTGACAGTAGACAAAGCGTTAATTGCACAACGACACTAAATTAACAGCCTACATTCGAAACTCCCTACCTTAAACATATGACTTCTATAGTGGTACTATACGAAATTGACCCGATCTAAATCTATACTAAAAACTGCATCTTATTCCAATGAAGTAAGGTTCTGTTTAGCGGACAAATATTGGATTCTTCCCTACGCTAATTATCAACAGGTCAGAGGAATCGTCCAACAACGTTAACACTAATACAAAAACACCGCTAGTTGTCGCAATAATTACATTTTAGCCGAAAGCGGTACATTTATTAATATGTTACTCTATAGATTAAGTTTAGAATCACAAACTGGCTTTATGCTCAGTTACAACGCGTTAAGTAGACAGCCAATGGTCAACAAACTTGGACACTGGAGAGGCTTATATGTTAATTTGTGTGTGCCCTACGTTTGCGTCCGGCATCGAGGAGTCACTAAGTCTACGGCGACGCGGGTCTTGGCCATAACGCATACAATAGAGTTGATTCTAAATAACCATTTAACTCTAAATTAAAATTTTAGTAAACAGTATTACAGCGAAATTATTATTCTACGGATCAGTATAATGTTTAAATTTAATGGTACATAATATAACATTTTCGCTAAACGTTAAAAATTAAAATTTTAGAGACAAATTTAAGGAATAATCTCCCAGAATTAACTCTATTGAAACCGATTTTGAAATCTCATTCTCTATGTATATTTCTAATATAAATAATTTAAAATACAGAAATATATGATATTCAAGAAGAGAACATGGCAGAACGTATTCTGAAAAGCTATTTCTTTTTTATTTTTAAAAAGACATTTAGAGAATGAGTATTCGCAGTCGACTTTATTGTTATGGAAACACTTTAGTAATTCTTACATTATTGACTGTTACTAAATATTTTAAGAGTTCAAACTGGCAACACTACCTGGCAAATTTAAAAATAAACGATATTAAATATTCCTGAATTAATTAAAAAAACTACCAAAATCTATTTGATTTTTCATTTAATGTTTCCCATTTTTTTTTTAACATTTTAGTACTGACTTAATCATATTTCAATTAACACTTAGTATTAAATAACTTTTAAAATGTATTCAGCATATTTAAAATTGTTTAAATATATTCAGTTGTTTTTTTTTTTCAAACCTCTCTACTTATTGCACGTGAACAAAGTCACGGGCGAAGCTGTTTAAATGTTGCCAGGTAATATAATGCACTCTTGATATTTAGTTACTACAACAAGGTGGTAACAAAGTGTTAAGTAACAACAACTGTCGTCACTGTACAAGACGTGTCGCAAACGCTTACGGCCTCCACGCGAATAAACGCACGAACACGTGGAAGCGTATAATTTGAACTATATCTTAAATTCCCCTCATTTATCGTATATTTAGTGAAAGGGAGATTTTATAACAGCCAAATTGTTAGTACTATGCCCCGAAAATCTAGGCAACAACCAGAGCCTTTGTATAAGCGGTAAACGATCCCTTTCTTATGTTACATTTACTCTTCAGTCTTCACAAAGTAAAATGATCTTTATTTCTTTACACCTAAAAACACAATCAGCTTACCGCCCCGTTGCTGACGATGATACACCGTACACTCACGCTATTTCTCATCACCAAATAGCGTTTTTTTTTTATATTGAAATGAAATCGTTCGCCGCTTGTCCAAGGCCCCAAGTAATTTCAACTATACTGAACTAATCAAAAAAACTGTCAATTTCACCGAATATTAATATTGCTTATTCCACTATAAGGAATTACATCTTTTACACTTTGTGCACTTGTTTGACAAGCGTTTCAAAGTATTAAACTATTCCTAGAGCCGCCCGGCGCGGTCACAAGCTAAACCCATAATGTTTACAATCTGTACAGGTCCATTAAAACTATTCCTTTACAAATAAATTATTTTAAAAAAAAAATCACTCATTTCTTTAATAAATACGTTAACAGCATAGAGCTAGTAGTTTTACACGGGTCTTGACGTGAAACAAGAAGAGGTTAGGAGGTCGATTAAATATGCTTGATGTCTGTATGGAATAATCTCATTTCTCTGTTTAATCTTATAAGTACGCGACAGGCAACCCATTTAAAAATGTAATCGACCTCCTAAAAGTCCATGTTGAATAGAACCCATATAAAAACGCCATTATGGTAAGGGCCCATCGACATCTGTAAGCCTCAACGCTCATATAATGTATGGGACAGCTGAAAACAAACATGGAATGTAACATGTGACGGACGCCCTTAAGAGTCTGTGACGATTGAAGACTTACCGGTTAATAAAAAAAAAATAAAAAAAAAATGCACTATTTTTACTCTATAAATCTTTGTACACAAACTAGTACTCTGTTTTTACATTCCCGATTCGAATATAAAATTATATAAAACATAACATGGTCTAATAAAAAATAATAATTTAATTATTTAAATATAATAAATATATGATTAAATCAATATTCACACACTGTTTATTTGTGGTAACATGCCAAAATTAAATAACTATTAAGTAGTTCAAATTGCTAATTTGTTAATTGTATTTACTAATACATATATTGTACTTATATATTACAGAATATCTGTGTATCTAATCTATCGTTTTTAAAATTCGAATTCATAAAAAAAAATATAAATACTACCTCATTCGAATTATAAAGAGCACCAACTAGTTGATATATGTTACATGGATAATAAGGAATTGCAAATACATTCCTTCATTCAACACTGCATCATATCAACAATTGTATTGGCGTCTATTACTTGCAATAAGTTACAAGGAAACATGATAGACGAAAAAATAAAGTCAAATATTCTTTGCAAGCTTTTAACAGCGTGAATTTACCGGGTACAGTGGTATAACACCTGAGTCCTCAGGAATGGCAACGCATGGGGGGTATCATGGGCAAAACAGTATACTCTGTTATGTCCATGGTACTGCTCATTTCTATAGGCGACGGTTACCACTTTCCATCAGGTGGGCCGTCAGCTTGTGTACCATTCTAAGTTGTATAAAAAAAACAACCTACCCCCGGTTGGTATTATTTGATTTATACTTAAACGGTTTTATATTTGAACTGTCAACTCTTGCAAGGTCTTACGATTACAGTCTGTAATTACATAATTACAGGTTAACCATCACAGCAACATAAAATTATAAAATTAATTAATTACTTTTTACAAGTTTTTGGCTAAGTAATTAATTGTTACAGGAATTGATTATTTTTATTAAAATTGCCAAAAAATGCCGAATAGACTTACATGCACATAATTAAACTGTTTTCGTCACTGTCAGGTAATAAGTCATTTACGATGATAAATAACTTGGCGAGCTTTTTGAAATCTTTCCATTTGGCTCTACAGGCAATACTAATAGTATTACTAAAACCAAAACCAAGATACTAATTTAATATTTTAAAGTTTACTGCAGTCTTATGGAGGAGAAACTTCTAGATGATTAATTTTTTTTTTTTATTATTCAGTTGTCATAGACTTTATTTGTTAATCATAGAAATGTCGTTAACGACTTTTTTTTTATATACGTTTGGACATTTGGTTAGGATACTAACATTTTATGATCAATTTAAAAATATTTACTTGCACTTATCATTTCAGTTCAAATCATATAGGCACTATTATATAGCTATCCACTGTACTCACGTATTGATAATACAGTAAAAACACTTTACACTTCGATTAGTAATGACAAAATTCAAAAATTACATTTCGTTAAAACAGCACCCAAATGCATGAACATTTGGGTAGCTTTTGCCTATCCCGTTCCTTCACATTCTCAACCCTAATATATCTGTCCTTGTCACATCATTGTCAACTTTAGGACACTGAATGTTATCATTACTGATCGAAGACTAGAATACATTGAAATAAAACAATCCGGCAAGTGTTTCAATCGTCGCAGATAACAGCCATAACCTGTACATTAACCTAGCACATATCACAAACTGTGGTCGACTAGTGCGCGACGACGCCGTTCCTCTGTCTCGGGAACACGTTTGGATCCACCTTTTTGGAGCTCACCTCCTCCGGAAGCGGCTCCTGTTTGGCCTTCTTACCCTTTTGGGGGAGAGGTAGGCCTTGTAGAAGAACCGAGCGAAGAGCACGAAGTATGAGAAGTACATGGCCATAGATAGCTTGATGTTGATCTGGCTGATGTGACACGTGTCCGGGGGCCCGGTCGCCAGGTAGTTGTGCGCCCAAATGTTGATAGCGCAGCCGACTATCATCTGTGTGAGCTGCAGGAACGTGATCGTCATGGCGAGGAACTTGGGTGGGTATTTGCCCATGCTCACTAAAGCGTAATACGAGTACATCACGCTGTAAAAAAGAAAAACAAAATTATTTTTAGTTATTGAAGTTCTAATGTATTTATACTTCTAACAAAATTTTGGTCGCTCTTTCCTCGACTTTATGACGCGGACGCGTTTATCTAGGTAATATCATCATCTTATCAGCCTTTAACTGTCCACTGCTGAACATAAACCTCCCCTTTGCGAAGTTTTGCCAGTAGTTGCCATGTTTGGCAGGCGGATTGGTAACCGTATTTAGGAGGGTGGGATCGAAGGGATTGTTAGTAATAAGAGGTTAGTCCCCATTGCTATTAATATATCCTATCAGGTCGATCTCCACGCGGTTCCCCCTGGAAACCATCGTGACTAATTTATCGTTGAATGCGTCATGATGGGCTAACTAACCTATCTTTCCATCCTCACCTATCACCTCTCACTGGTGTCCCGCCAGTGTATACCGATAGCGCGGGCAGGGTTACCATTCCATTATCATCCATTAAAAAAACCGCAGTTAGGCTTTGCAGATGTTTTAAGCGGAACGCTGTTGCCCATCCCTCGCCCTCCCTAAGTCGCATCTTACGACATCCATGGGAAAGGAAGGGGTGGTCTATTCTATGCTGGGACCAAACTGCTGATGGATGTTTATTAATTTATTACAAATTCACACAAAAATTACTTTTGAACGAAATTTATTATACAAATAGTTCATATTCTATTATATGAGATAATTTATAATACACTGAATCATGTGGGCGAAGGTGGATACCGTTCTTTATGGTAGTCAATGGGAGAGGCTCATGTCCAGCAGTGGACGGATAATGGCTGTAATGATGATGATGAGGGCGAAGCGACAGTACAGTTGGGTAACAAATGTGTCTCACCTATGAACACAATAGTTCATGACGACGAACCAACGTGCGGACGACGTGTACTCTGTGAACGAGTACCAGGTGTACAGCAGCACCGTGATGTGGTGGTACCAGTGGAGGAAGATGAGTGGCTTCTTGCGCAGCACTATGAACACCGTGTCGCCGAGCTCCGGCAGCTTGGACAGCACGAACATCACCGTCCAGAAGCCGGACACTTTGTCTTGGAGGATGAAACTGGAAATCAACAAAAATAAAATTTTACCATACCTAATAACCCAACCTATATAATCCTTACTTCTATAATATAAAAAATGAGGGGGAAGGATTGCTAGTAATGTGGACTAATGGCTTCAATGCTTGCAAGCCCTATCAGGTCGACCTCCACGCGGTTCCCCCTGGAAACCATTGTGATTAATACTTGCATTCGTCACGATGGGCTAACTGACCTGCTTTCATACACATCTATCATCCTTCACTGGTGTCCCGCCAGCGTATACCGATAGCGCAGGCGGGTTCACCATTTCATTATCATCCATTAAAAAAAATATAAAAAATGTTAAGGTCATAACGGCGTTACCAATCGAAATATTATATACTGATTTTGATGAAAAAGACATGCAAACGTTTACCCGGGCCAGAGAACATGTACCAGTAACGTAGGCCTTTTAATACTCACCCATTTCATCTCATCTCATTTTACCAGCCCTATGTATAGTTAGCAGTTTACTTTTATTTGTTTAAGACATCATGGGTCCATTTTTGTTAGTAAGTGTACTTAAAAACTATGTTAATACTCAATTACTAATACTAATAGAATAGAATTTACTAAAAAAGCAAAAAAAAAAAAACAATCAATTGTTCAGACTCTAATGTAATCGGTTTGAATTCATCTCATTAATCGCCAGTAGCATGTCAAAGTGTGTAAATAGATAATATTTTCTGCGAAAATTACATCAGAACCGTGCACGGTTGGCGGTCGTCGAATAGAAAGTGGTATATTGCGTAATTTGGGAAATTATGCGCCTCCGTCCGTCAATGCGTGGACTATGACGACACGTGAACGCGGCCGGAATGGGCCCGATAAACCTATCGTACCACCGCGTCGACCAATCAAACCTTTCAATTCCAATACACTTTCTATCTACAGTGACTAACGAAATATAATAATATCAAACAGCTAGTTCAATTGTCACTGTACGCCGAGAGGTGAGATTTGCTCTCGCCGGATTATCCACACGATTTTTATTGATAATATTTTAAAATGTTCCAATCCCAATATTTGAGTACAAATTTTGGATTATGATATGGATATTGTGAGCTTTAAATTTTGTGTTAATAATGAAATATATACCCCCTTAGATATATAAAATTAAACCTCTCATAAACCAATTTTAGCTATTGAACTGTTCTCTCTCTGTGTTCTTGTCTCTTTCTTTTGCGCTAAATTCCCAATTTGAATAAAAATGACAATACACTGTAATATTTAAAGCAGGTATGAACGGAATTTATGTACAATAACAAATATAATGAATATAATAAATGCTACATTAATTATTACGTAGAATAATATTTTACTTTTATTACATTTATACTATATAATAAAAATTCCTTATATTTATACTATAAAAAGTTAAATTTACGTGTATTTCTAAAAATGACGTCCAAAAAATCCGGTATGAATCATTACTAGACACTTGTTCATGTTATGTGTATTTTCCTTAAAAGCGTAAACTTTTTTACTACTATTCGTGAGATGATGGTGCCCTCTGGTGCTAAGAGTTTATTAAACATTTATTTATAAGAAAAAATTAAGAGCAAACTTATTGATAAAATCATTTTTAATCAATATTAAAGAAGTTTTGAACGATTTCAAAAATTTTAGAGATTTATAATTTGTCTTTTTTGTGTGTATGTTAACGTTATATCTTTACCAATTTGGAACTGATATTGACAATTTTTTTTTCAATTCAAAAGCGACTCTGTTAGTACTATTTCAAATTGTTCCAAATTGAAATAGTTGTCTATTTTTAAATCGGAAATCTTAAATTATTCTTAACGTTTTCATAAACGTGGTAATTGGCGTGAATTTACAGGATACAGAGGAATAACACCTGAGTCCTCAGGAATGGCAACGCATGGTGGGTATCATGGGCGAAACAGTATATCTGTTATGTCCATGGTACTGCTCATGTCTATAGGCGACGGTTACCACTTTCCATCAGGTGGGCCGTCAGCTTGTTTGTCATTCTAAGTCATATAAAAAAAGGTGGTAAAATAACTTTTTTAATATATCAAAGTTATGATAAAAAATATAAAATTATTCAGTACATTCAATCATCCATATTTATTTATATATTACTTTATTCTCAGTGTATAGTATTTATGTTTATTGACGTTGAATGAATATGTATATAAAATAAAGATGTACATTTTTTATTATTATCTGTTGTATTTTCTAAATAAAATAAAGTAAAAATAATAAATATGCAATAAATATGAAGTACTAACAGTTTAAACTGTTTCCACTTCTTATTATTACACACACTTTATTATTTTTACTTTATTTTATTTAGAAAAACTACAACAGATAATAATAAAAAATGTACATCTTAATTTATATATATTATAAAATAAAGACAATGTAAATTTTGTGTACAATAAAGTATAAATAAATAAATATGGATGATTGAATGTACTGAATAATTTTATATTTTTTATGATCCATGATATATTAAAAAATTCTGTCAAAGTATTTTACCATCTTTTTTTTCCATATTGTGTGCACTTAGAATGACAAACAAGCTGACGGTCCACCTGATGGAAAGTGGTAACCGTCGCCTATAGATATGAACAGTACCATGGACATAACAGAGTATACTGTTTCACCCATGATACCCCCATGCGTTGTCATTTCTAAAGACGCAGGTGTTATTCCTCCGTACCCCGTAAATTCATAGTCATATCCCACCCCTCAAACCGAAACACAGCCATGCAAACACAACTGTTTCACGGTTAAAACTCAAATGGGACAGAGGTGCCCAAGCAAACAACTTTTGTACAGTCTCCCTCTGATAAATTGTAATTGTGTATCACAATTCACTCTGACATTGTTCTATAATTATTTAAACAAAATTTTCAATTTCTTTTACACGATAATGTGAATCTTGTCCGTTTTTATATCAATGTGCAATAATGAAACAAATATGGGTGGACTGAATATGTGTGAAATATAGCCTTGGGATGTCACTATGATCCGCAAATCTTTAAAGACACACATCTGACAATAAACTTTTTTATATTTAAGTTCTATAATTATTTAAACAAAATTTTTAATTTGTTTTACATAACAATGTGAATTGTACTAATTATACTCCAAAAAAAAAAAAAACCGTGGCAAGAACCTAACAATTAAACAGATTTTGATAAAATTTCTATGAGATCAATCTGATAAAAGTATATCCAATAATAAAAAAAAAAAAAAAAAAAAGAATTTTCCAAATTGGTTTATAAACGACGGAGTTAACAACAAACACAATAATAAAATACAACTGAATTGAGAACTTCTTTCTTTTTTGAAGTCGGTTGATAGATGACATTAAATAACCACACGTACTTTAAACAATAATATAATATAATATAATATAATCAACATCCGTATAGTTTATATTAAGCAATTAACAATACGTCACAGGAGATTAAAAACTGTAAATATTTGTGTAAATTAAATATGTTTTTAATTGAAATGCAATTGATGTAATTTACTGATGACCTCAAAAATGTAAACATTAATTATTATTCTAGTCAATATTAATAATCAATTAATGAGTTCGTTCTTAATGACATTATTGTTATCAAAATTATAGTTTACGAAAAAAAAAATGGAAAACATATAATATTCACATGTAACATATAATGATATGTATATGACTGTAAAATTGCAGGAGAAAAAGGTATAACACCATAGTCCTTGACAATGGCAATATATGAGCTTCACAGTGTATTGTGATATCTACATATTTTTTTATGACACTTAGAATGGAAAACAAGCTGACGGCCCGCCTCATGGAAAGTGATAACAGTCACCTATAGACATGAACATAATAGAATATACTATTATGCCCATGGTTGCCATTCCTGAGGACTTTACAGTTGATGTTACACTTGCGTATCTTGTAATTTCATTGCCATATCCCATTCTTCAAACCGATACACAGAGAAATACGAATGGTACAGAGGTACCCATGCTGACGACTTATGTACAAACTTTCGCTTTAGTAAATTATTAATCTAATTAAAAAAAATCTAAATTAATTAATATATTTAATTATTGTATATAAAATAAATGAACATTATTTGTCATTAACTTTGACTTTGAATACAGCGGACACATCTGTTTTAATAATTTACATATTGTTTTCTTTAATTTGACGTATTTGAGTATGTACACAAGAATATGGAATTTCTAATTATTTTTAAATCTACTGAAATATTTCAATATTCGAATACAGATATACATCTATCAATTTTTAAATTTCGAACAGTGGGCAATGGCATATGCAGAACCAATCAATCTCTATTTTCAATTTATTTTAATCAACAAAACACCCCGCCATATGTAACGCCATAGCTCACAGAGCATCTTATGCCAAATTTATTATAATACTAGTTGTTTACCGTGATTGCTTGCTTATAAGTTGATAATAATTAAGGATATAATTTAAGTGTATACCAAACATTCAAATCCATCCATCCGTTTAAGCATGATTAAGTAACAAACAAACATCTTCACAAACTTTCATAATATTAAGTAACTTACTAATTAATATTAAGTTTATGATTGGACGAAGGAAGAGACCGAGACAAAGTTACATCAGGCAGATCAAGGAAGGAGTTGGTGTCGTGTCGTATCAAGAGGTGAAGAGACTCTCTGAAAATCGTAGTGAGTGGCAAGAGCTCCACCGACAAGAGCGCAACTCTTAAATAGGATAGCTAGATTGGATGAATTTAGTTGTAAATTTACGTGTGTCATGGATGACTCAAAAAAAAAAAGTGTTTATCTATCTGTCTAACTTTAAATTTTATAACATTAAGTAGGATAATTGCTTGGACTTGCTTTCGGTAAATCGTTAGGCACCACTTAAAGGTGTCCAAAATAGCTTAAAGTTTGAAGACAAGTTAACAACAATATAACAAGAATATAAGTAACAAAATCATACAATATTCTTTTATATATA